CCTCTTCCCGCTCACGTCTTTCTTCTCAATTTACAGGCTCCGTGGCCTCCTATGATGTGACTCAGCCGCCCTCGATGTCGGTGGCCCTGGGACAGACAGTCAAGATCCCCTGTCGGGGAGACAACATTGGAAGGAAACGTGTCCACTGGTACCAGCAGAAGCCAAGTCAGGCCCCCAGGCTGGTCATCTATTATGATAATGGGCGGCCCTCAGAGGTCCCTGACCGGATTCTCAGGGTCCAACTCCGGGAACACGGCCACCCTGACCATCAGCGGGGCCCTGGTCGAGGACAAGGCCGACTATTACTGTCAGGTGTGGGACGGAAGTGACAACATTGCTCACAGTGACACAGGCAGACGGGGAAGTGAGACACAAACCTGCCACCAGCCTGCCTCACGGGGCTCTGCCCTCCCTCCTGCCCTGGTCACACTGACAGGAGGGAACCTTCCCTGTGGGGGAGTCTCTGGTCCTCCCATGCCCTTGTTTCCCTGAGCCATGGGCAGCTGCTTCCGGAACCTCTCCAGGCTCAGCTCACTCTGCACCCTGGGCTAGTCGTTTCCAGTAACTTCATCTCTGACCTTCCCTTCAGACCTCCCCAGAGCAGAGAAAGCCTGGGATCACACAGACCTACTCTCAGCACTAAGGAGACACCATTGAGTCTTAGTGAGGTCTTAGGGTGGGGCTTGGGGGGTGTCACAGCAAAGTTGTGGTGTGAGGATCTTAACTTGACTGGTTTCAGGCAGGTCCTTCCAGGAAGGAGCAACAGGTACCTGGTCTACCTGGGAGAGGTGGTCATTAGCAATTCCAGGAAAGGGTCCCCAGCACCAGCCCCTAAGGACCAGCCATGAAGCGGTAGTGAGAAGGGCAGAGACCTCTTCCCGGACCTACAGGGACGTTGTGACGTGTAAATTTGGCCCAAAGACCTGTCCCCTCACGGGTCATTTTCCTCTCACCAGGCCCTCCTGGGTTATGCTAGACCACCCAGAGCCCAGCTGCTTCAGTAAGGGTGACTGACCCAGAGCCTTGTCTATCCTGAAAGATGGCAGGCCCGGGAGGCCAGCTGCAGGCTCAGCAGGCAGAGTCCTGGGCATCTGCCCATGGCATGGACCCCTCCCCTGCTCCCCTCATCCCTGAACAGGAGCACGAGGCTCAGCCTCAGATTTAGCCCCACAGGAACTTCAAGAGGGCCTTTCTGAAACCTGACTGCAGGTCAGGCAGGTCCTCCGAGTAGGGACCACAGGGTATAAACCCCTCGACCTCCGACATCCACTCTAAATTCCTCTCTTACAGGTCAGCAGCCTCATGGGAGCTCACTCAGCTGCGCTCCCTGTGCAAGACCCTAGGACAGAAGGGCATGGCAGGACATGAAGAACCAAGACCAAGGTGGCCTGAGAAGGACTTGGGAAGACAAGGGCGTCTGTCAGCTCAGAGGAAGTGAGAGCTCCCTGGGGCTGAGCCCAGAGCATCTGCACTTTAGGGAGCACAAACCCCAGGGCACTCCGAGATGCAGCTGCCCCAGGTCTGAGCTGGGATCTATGGGTCCAACTGGCCCAGGGACTGACATTGCAGAGCTCTGGAGAACACGCTCTGAGGGCCTCTGTTCCTGCTCCCAGCACAGGGGTTACTCTCCTGAGGACAGCCTGAGGAAGCCAGGGTGCTGTCCCCAGATGGGAGTCGCTGTGGAGCTGCAGGCCCTGAAGGAGCCCATGCAGGAGAGCTCCCTGCCCTCCCGCCTGCTCTAGGGAGCAGGAGGTGGGTCTGCAGACACAGGAGGGCCCTGTCCCCTCCCTCCAGGGAGCGCCTGCAGCATTCTCCAGGACAGATCTTCTTCTAAGCATTACAACGCATCAATATGTAATTAATGATGGAAATAACACGAAGTGCATCATCTAATCACAGTACAACGGACTTAGGGATCAGTAACAGAAACCCCCTCCTACACTTACACTCACAAACGTTCGCAAACTTACAAACACATTTCTACACAGATACGAATCATTGAATTAAAGAGAAAGGATAAAGTATAATGAGATGAATGGGAATTAAGACATAGAGTTAAAAAATAAAAAGAAAGAAAGCCAGAAAGAAAATAAAAAGGGACCACAGTTGGCATAATGGCTATGTTGCTGGACTCTCATGTCGTCGACCACAATTCCAGGCCCATCCCCCCGGGGGGTGATTTTTTTCTTTCTGTCTCTCTGTCTCTCTCTGTCTTTCTGGCAAGGTCACATGCCCTATAGCAAAAATCTATCCACAAATAAAAAAAAGACATAGTATAGACAACGTAGGGGTTTCTATTAACAGCACTGAGAGGATAATATTAACAAATGCTTGTGTGTGTGTGTGTGTGTGTGTGTGTGTGTGTGGGTGTGTATGTGTGTGTATGTGTGTGTGTTTGTGGTGTGCATGTACATCTATATACACATGCATGTATTGCATACGTACTCAAATATATGTTTATATTTAATTATTAACCATGCACACATACTTATTCTTAAATTGTTCTCCCCTGTACTTGTGGGGTTTCTTGTTACTAATATTAAAGAGGAATGCAGAACAGGGATTACGTGCTACACCTGCTATTGGTGTGTCTGAGTTAGAAGTGTCTTTGTTATCATCAGTCGTGGGCTTGTAGCCAATAAACCACATGGCTTATTATTATATCTCTTTTACCATTTTTTTCTTTCATTGTATTAAGACAGCCTTCAGTTCACAGAAATGGGATCCTGACCTTAGTATTTAAGGACCCGGCCTGTAAGGTGGAGCCAGGTCAGGCCTCTGATGTCCTCGGTGTCACCAATAACACTCTGTCCTCTGTTTGCTACCCTGGAGGGAGCAGAGCGAGCGTCCTCACCTCTGTCCACAGAGCTCAGGAGGACAGAGCACATGGACACAGCAGAGAGGGAGTGACAAGATGGCCCAGGAGCCTGGGGGGATGGAGGAGAAGGAGGCAAGAGGCAGGGCAGGGAGGCTGAGGGCAGCTCTGAGCTGAGGCTACTGGCCTTGGGCTCCTCCCACTACTGTCTGGGTCTTTGGGGAAATCATGTCACCTTCCATGATGGTCCCCGGTCATAGATGGGAGGAGATTTCCTGCTTTAAGCTCAGGATTTCTCAGGTTATTGGGAAGGTCTGAGTGAGATAGTGTCTGCAAAGCACTCAGGAAACATCTGGATTGTTTCAGGATCTAAAGGGTCATTCTGTCTGAAGTAGGCACAGGTAGGTGACATTTGTCCTGCAGGCACCAGGGGGCACTGTGGCCTTTGGCTGGGGACCCTGATAACCCCAAGTGCCCTGGAGGAGCTTAAGTGCAGAGGGTGTGACAGAGGCTTCCCCTGAGACCCTTGCATGGGGGAATCCACTCTGCCCTGACACCACCTGGCCCTTCCTCTGACCTCTCCTACTGTGTGCTGGAAATATTTGGGAAGCAGGCTGTGGGTGCTCATGACAGCCAAACAAAACAAATCAAACTTTAATTGTTCAAGATGATGAATACGGTAATTTGACTGACAACGGCAGCGATTTCACTGTGTACGAGCACACAAAACCACATCTCGTACCCTGAAGAATACAACTTTAAAAAACATCTCTTTTTAGGGTCAGCACGTAGTGTGAGGTTAAGGTGCTGGATTCCATAGGGCCAACTATGTGGTTCGAATCCCTGACTTGGTGGCTTGAGATATGCCGGCACCTGTGTATGCGTGCCCAAATCCAGAGGAAAATGGAGAAGAGATTGTGGCATGGCCATCTCCTCAAGGGGTGATTTCTGTCTTCCCTCTTTCTCTGCCTCTGACTGGTGAGGGCACGCGCCCTTTGGGGAAAATCAGAAACAGAAAAAAATTAATTGTCCAGTGCATGCAATCATTCTGCAAACAGAGACAAAGAGAAACAGATAGAGAAATGAAGAACAACCTCCCATGGAGAAAGAGACACTGCGGTTCCTTCTCCCTTGATCCTTCCTGTCAGGATTTAGGCGTGCCCGACTATTAAGATCCGCATATGTTTGAAGCTGCCAGTTCTGGGACTTGATCTGCTCAGTCAGGTCTGTGGGATCCAGCTGGCTTAGCCACCACACCACTGGCAGGCCCTTAAAAATATTTTCATAAAAGCTTTTATTTTATTTTTTTGGGGAGAGTTTTTTCTTTGTTTGTTTGTTTGTTTGTTTTTGCTATAGGGCACGTGTGCTCACCAGACAGACAGAGAGAGACATAGAGACAGAAAGCGAGAAATCACCCCCCAGGGGGGATGGTCACGCTGCAATCCCTTCTCCTCCATTCTCCTCTCAGGATCTTGGGCACGCACACACACGTGCTCGGCGTGAGTTTTAAGCCACCGGGTCCGGGACGCAAACCACAGTCAACTACATGGGAGTCCAGCGACATAGCCATTATGCTAACTGCTTGTTCCCAAAAGCTTTTACTTTTTATGAGGTTCATCTTAGCAATTATGCACAGTGCATTCTTGGTTTTGGAGTCAAGAAATCAAATACTTAACAAATCCCAGAAGAGTTTGGTTCACCCCTTTTTATTTTCCTAATATGGAATGAGTATTCTCAAAGGGGTACATGGCTATTTACTCTTTGTCCAATCATGATACTCTGACCTCTCTGTCCTCAGCATGACCCCTGACCTCAACAGCACCAGCCACAGCTTGGCCCAGTGCACCCCAGGGATAGAGTCAGCACTAGAGAGGGGAATAAAGGGGTCCTGGCCAGTCCAGAGAAGGGGCCCAGGCCTCAGTTGTGATGTGTGCATGTGCGTGTGAGTGTACATGTGTGTGTGTGTGTGTGTGTGTGTGTGCGGTGTCAACAATCTCCCCCACTACACCACAGAGAATATGAGATCCTGGGCATAGGCCTTGGGGACAGACCTATGGGGACAAGCTTCTTGAAACCCAGCCTAAGTCTCTGCTCAGCAGGGAGCCACCCCCAGCCACAGGAGGAAGGAGAACATTTGCATGAGGAGCCCCCCTCCCTCAGGATAAGAGAGGCCTAGGGGCCCTCCCAGCTGTGGGCTCAGAGGCAGAGCTCTGGGGTGTCTCCACCATGGCCTGGACCCCTCTCCTGCTCCCCCTCCTCACTCTCTGCACAGGTGCTGCCCCCAGGGCTCAGCCCCACACAACCAGGGACCAGCCTGGCCTGACCTTCAGCTCAGCACAGGGGGTGCTGCAGGGTGTGGGGCCCTCTGGGAAGGAGACCCTCAGCCTCAGGCTCACCTCTCCTGTCCTCTCTTGCAGGTTCTGTGGCCTCCTCTGCTCTCTCTCAGCCACTTTCAGTGTCTGTGGCCCTGGGACAGACAGCCAGAGTCACCTGCCAGGGAGGAGGCTTAGGAACCTACACTGTGTACTGGTACCAGAAGGACCCAGGTCAGAGACCTGTGCTGATTATCTCTCGAGACAGTAACCGGCCCTCAGGGGTCCCCGATCGATTCTCCGGCTCCCGCTCAGGTGGAACGGCCACCCTGACCATCACTGGGGCCCAGGCTGAGGACGAGGCTGACTATTTCTGTCAGTCATGGGACAGCACTGGTAACAACCCCACAGTGACACAGGCAGGTGGGGAAGTAGACAAAAAAATCCCTGCCACGTATGGGTCACATTCTCCTCCCAGTTCAGGAGGACTGGGACACAGCCATGAGCAGAACTGGCCCAGCTCACCCAGGGTCTGGTTCCCCAGGCTGCCCTTCCCTCCCAGCCCCTCAGGCAGGCTCGGCTCAGGGTGAGTGAGGGATGACTGTAAGTGTGGGCAGGACCAGGCTGTGCTGCTGTTGTGTCTAAAGTAGAGAAAGCACCCAACTGGATGGACAGACAAAGGACTCATGTGTCCACTGTTCATGTCCCTGGGTTTCCACATAGTGATGACTGGGTCATTTTTAGGCTCAAATATTCAAGACTAGGCCCCAGAACTGCTCAGTTCAGCAAATATCCTGAAGCTCTAGGCTCCCACGACACTATAGAATTCTGAACAAACACCCAGGGTTGTGGTCTTTGTGGATCTTCCCAGACCTCACATCTGGGCTGGCACGACCACCCACCCACCACTGCAGGGAGCTGTGCCCCTCACAGAGAAGAGCTGACGCTGGAGAAACCTGCCTCACACGGGTGCACAGGCCGCCCCATGGATGCAGACAATGAGCCCTCCCCACCCTCTCAAAGAGCAGGTCAGAGACAGTGCACGTTCACATGGAGTGGGGAACAGTACACGCTCACGCTTTGTCCCTCAGCATTGGGAATGCTCACTTCCCATCATAACGTAGACCCCAGGGGCCCTGACCGTGTGGAAATGAGGGCAAATCCCTGGGCTCTACCATGTCATGGTAACTGGTTCAGAGGAAGAAGCCGGTATTAGGTCGTCAGGAAAGTCGTGATGTATTTTTCTATGCAAAAATGCGTCATGAATTTCCCGACAATCCAATATATTAAAAGCTTTGTTGAGCAACTTTGTCTTCAGAGAATAGAAAAAAATATCATCAGGCATTCAGTCATCTGTGTTAGCCATAAAATTAAAGTGTTTAGTTGCCAGGAGAGCACAAAGCCAGAGCTGTCAGATGGGCCATGTCCTGAGGTCAGGGAGGCCCATGCTGACCAGTGGGACATGGGGGTGGTGTGTCCCGGATGGAGCAAGGACAGAGTCTGGGGCTCAGACCCTGCACAAACCACAGGGCCACAGCCCCGTCTCCATCTCTGTACCAGCGCCTGCTCTGGGGGTACTTCTGTTCTAGGGGGCAGGGCAGAGCCTGGTGCACCTGGTTACCCCCACATCCCTGAACTGAAGGAAGGCAGCTGAAGGAGGACCGGTCTGCTCCAAGGTCACACTCCCCCAGATCCCCAAGAGTGTCCCTGGGGCTGTGTAATTTTATGAACACTCAGGATCCTCTAGTTCCCACCTCACACTTCGTTCGTGGCTGTCACAGCCCCCTTTTCTCCTCTAGGGTAACATGGAGTCTGAGGCCATGGACGACTCTGTGGAAGCAGCTCAGGGAAGGACAGTCACTGTTCACTGAGGGACCGTCCTCTGCACAGCAGGCCATGCTGGGTGTGCGCAGCCAGGTCACGTGTGCTGTGCCCCCGGGGATCGTGCCCTCCACGTGCTGGGGAGCTCAGCACTGACCTCAGAGCACAGTGTTGACTCTGGAGCCCATTTTACTGCGTGATCTTCTGGAAGGTCGATCACAACCATCGGGTCCCGATCCGCCCAGTGGGACAGACGGTGGCTGAGGACGGCCCATCCTACTCACGGACATACGTGCACGAAGGCTGGGGGTGAAAAGGAGGTTGTAGGAACCGTTCTTTCTGAAGGTGGAGTTTCCAGCCCTGCTCTCTCTGCCCACCCCAGCATGCCTGTGTTCACTCCAGGACTTTCTAATGTGAGTTAGAGTGAGCCAGGGCGTGATGGTCTCTCCTGTTCTCTCCATCTCCCTCTGGGTTACATCCCAGCCCTTCCCCCTGGACTGTAGGAGCCTGTGCACCACAGATGTGTCAGACGTGTGTACAGTGGTTTTTGAAAGTGGACACACAGTCCCTTTGGATACATTTTCTATCACATGAACAGCGAACACATCCTTGTACGGCTCTGGATTTCAAATGCCGGGACTCATGGAGTTAAAAGAAATGACTAACTTTGAAAAAGTACAAAAGGGAATCCTGACCCGTTTCCTTCTCCTTGGGCTGCAGTGAGGACAGCTCAGGGAGCCCAGGTCCTGAGGACCTCCCTGGAGACCAGTCCTGGAGAGTGACAGTCTCTCCTGCCCTTTCACCACAAGCTGGGACCGTCCATCCTGCAGATGAACCCACGTTCTCCCCAAGGGCACCAGGAACCTGCTCCAGGGTGGAGCTAACTCAGGCATTTCAGGAAATCCTGCATAAAAGGTGGAAACAGCATGATGTACGTGATCCCAACAGAGGAGGATGGAGTCAGGGTTCAGTAACAGAAACAATTCCCTAGAACTCGCAAATGCCAAAAATGTGAAAGCACATATATATATATATTTTTTTTAGAGAGGTTTTTGCTATAGGGTGCATGCTCTCGCCAGAAAGACAGAGAGAGACAGAAAGCAAGAAATCATCCCCCAGGGAGGATGGCCACGCCGCAATCCTTTCTCCTCCATCCTCCTCTTGGGATCTTGGGCATGCACGCACATGCGCCCGGCGTGAGTTTAAGCCACTGTGCCTGGCGTGAGTTTAAGCCACCATGTCCAGGATTCAAACTGCACTCAACTACATGGGAGTCCAGCAACATAGCCATTATGCTAACTGCTGGTCCCTTCTAACACATGTCTAACTAGCAAAAGGGATCAGTGAAGAAATCAAAGGGAAATCGGAAAGCACTTGGAGATGATGAAAATGATGACACAGCACGTCAACACCCGCTGGATTCTCCTTCCAGGCTGGCCTGAGCTGCAGGTCTCCATGGGCAGCTGGTTTGAGGGAAGCCATCTAAGATCCAGCTGTCCCCACGTGGGCTTCGACCTCAGGGGCAACTGGGCACCTAGAACTCTGGGGTCCCTCTTAACTCTCAGGGTGAATGAGAGGTGTCCCTGTAGATGTGTTGACTTTCTGCGTTTTCCTGGGATGTTAAAAAAAGCCTCACATGCTAGGAGCTCTGGGTTCTGAAAGAGCTGAGAATCAACTTCAGGGCGAATCCTGGTTAAGAGCAGCCATGGCCCACGTGCCCAGGGCCCTTCCTGGCCTGAGATTTAGAAAGAAATTGCACCCGCTTGGATCCTGCCTAGGGACACTGTCCTGTCTGCATACTCCTCATTTTGTCCCAAGGCACAAGTCCCCAAGGTCACTCTCCCATGGGCCCAAGTTCTACGTGGGGTGATGAAAATGCTCCGGAGCTGGCCAGTGGGGAGGGCGGGGCAGCACCTGAGGGTCCTCACTGCTGCTGGGGGCACACCTGAGCCTGGAGAAAAGGGTACAGTGTGCTCATTTATATCACGAGGAGAAAATTGCATATGTTGGGGAAAATCAACCTCAGGGGCAACTGGGCACCTAGAACTCTGGGGTCCCTCTTAACTCTCAGGGTGAATGAGAGGTGTCCCTGTAGATGTGTTGACTTTCTGCGTTTTCCTGGGATGTTAAAAAAAGCCTCACATGCTAGGAGCTCTGGGTTCTGAAAGAGCTGAGAATCAGATTCAGGCCGAAGCCTGGTTAAGAGCAGCCATGGCCCCCATGCCCAGGGCCCTTCCTGGCCTGAGATTTAGAAAGAAATTGCACCCGCTTGGATCCTGCCTAGGGACACTGTCCTGTCTGCATACTCCTCATTTTGTCCCAAGGCACAAGTCCCCAAGGTCACTCTCCCATGGGCCCAAATTCTACATGGGGTGATGAAAATACTCTGGGGGTGGCCAGTGGGGAGCGCAGGGCAGCACCTGAGGGTCCTCACTGCTGCTGGGGACACACCTGAGCCTGGAGAAAACGGTGCCGTGTGCTCATTTATATCACGAGGAGAAAATTGCATATGTTGGGGAAAAGTCTAAGTAGTTTAATTTTAAATTATTCCACAGGAACAATGAAAAAAATAGTGTAATATGTACAACTCATCAGCTATCTGCATTCAGTAATGACTAACGTTCTGCTATATTTCTCCCTCTTTTGTCTCTCTCTCTCTCTTTCTGTCTTTCTTTGTCTCTCTCTGCAACAATCAGGCTTATTAAAGTCCCAGGAGCTGTCATTCCGCATGAAGTAGGGCAAACACGTAGGGTGACATTTATCCTGTGGCCGCCAGGGGACGCTGTAGGATGGAGTTTGGGGACCCTGATGATGCAAGCCCCTGGCAGAGTTCAAGTGCAGGAGGCAGGACTGATGCTTCCTCTGAGGCCCCTTCTGAGACCTCCCTCCCTCCCTCCCCTGTGCTCACAAGTGTCCCTGCCTTTCCCGTGCTCACACGTGTCTCTCCCTTCCCCGTGGTCAAATGTGTCCCTCCCCTCCCTGGGCTCACATGTGTCACTCATCCTCTCCTGTGTTCTGAGAGCCCCTGTCCTGCCCACACAGCTGCTCCTCATACGGGGACTCTCCTCCACCGTGGGCTTAGCTGGTCTCTCCTTGGGCAGCTGCCCAGTTTCCTCATCCCGATTTCCCAGAGAGTGAGGCCCACAGTCCTTCTCTGTACCCTAAGGTGACTTACTAAGATTTTATTCCTTCATACACTTTCCCAGCACCTCAGGGCAACCTAATCAAAACAGTCACATGAGTTTCTGGGAGAGTCTGCACCCGCAATCACTCTCCTGCACAGCACACAGGTCTCCATCCCGTCTGTCCTGGGCCTTAGCTAACACTGCGGAGACTGAGGCACAGACCTGTGACCTGTCCAGGAGCTCACGGCCAAGGGCAGAACCTTCCAGCATCTCGGGAATCGTTCACCACTCCAAGTGCATGTGGTTACACAGGTATTTGTCCTGACTCTGGCCCTCAGTGGCTGAACCTGGGGCAGGTCCCTGCACCTGTCCAAGCCTCGTGCTGTCCCCTGTACAGAGGGAGGAAGAGGGTCACTGCATCAGGCCAGGAAGGTGTCCTCTGAATGTGTAGCCACCACTAGACCCAGCACCTGGACTCGGCCCCAGCACAGGACAGACCTCTCGACTCCTAGACCCAAATCGGCACCTCCCCCCGATCGAGTCCCACAGTCACCACTGTCCAGTGTGTCTGTGCCCACGTCCAGAAGGAGACCCAGGGTCAACATTTGGGCAGAGCTCAGGCTGCCTGGAAAATGCAGAGAGAATCCCCTCTGTGCTCGGCCACCCAGGAGTGAGGACTGAGCATAGGCTGGGATAGGTAGGCCCAGACGTGGCACAGAGAGGCAGAACCCTGTGGGCTGAGGTGGGTGTGCAGTCCTACCTCCTGAGTCCCTGGGCTGCCCCTTCTCTGGAGACCACAGAGTCCCTCAAGCAGCACCTGAGTTCTGGCTGATTTGCATAAGGGGCAGCTCTCTCCAGCCAGGGGTCCGGCCTGGGAGTAACCAGCCCAGCCTGGGCCTAGGAAGCAGCCTCGGGGACACCATGGCCTGGACCCCTCTCCTCCTGGGCCTCCTCGCTCACTGCACAGGTGCTGCCCAGGCTCAGCACGGCCCAGCCCTAGGGCTTTGGGCCCAGGTTGGGCTGACCTTGAGCTCAGAGGGCTCTCCTTGTTAGGGAGGGGGCTCCTGAACCTGGGCTGAGACCCCCCCACCCCACCCTGAGCTCATTGAATGGTCTGAGCCTGAGAAGCCGGAGCTGTCAGGAGAAAGGGTCAGGGTCTCCTATTTTCTAAAGCCAACAGTGAAGTCCATGGGACTCCTGGGCTGAGACTGCAGGAAGGGGTGCCCTGTGGGTCCAGAGAATGCTTTGAGCTAGTCCAGGCCAGGCAGGAGGGTCTCGAGGGAAAGGTTTTTCATCTTAAAATTCTCTTCATTTTTCTCAATTTACAGACTTTGCTGTCAGGAGAAAGGGTCAGGGTCTCCTATTTTCTAAAGCCAACAGTGAAGTCCATGGGACTCCTGGGCTGAGACTGCAGGAAGGGGTGCCCTGTGGGTCCAGAGAATGCTTTGAGCTAGTCCAGGCCAGGCAGGAGGGTCTCGAGGGAAAGGTTTTTCATCTTAAAATTCTCTTCATTTTTCTCAATTTACAGACTTTGTGGCCTCCTATGATGTGACTCAGCCGTCCTCAGTGTCTGTGGCCCTGGGACTGACGGCCAGGAGGATCACTTGTGGGGGAGACGACATTGAAAGGAATGTTGTGCACTGGTACCAGCAGACGCCAGGCCTAACCCCCAAGCCAGTCATCCGTAATAATAACGAGCGGCCCTCAGGGGTCCCTGACCGATTCTCAGGCTCCAACTCAGGGAACACGGCCGCCCTGACCATCAACGGGGCCCAATCTGAGGACGAGGCCGACTATTACTGTCAGGTGTGGGACAGCAGTAACGGTATTGTCACAGTGACACAGGCAGACAGGGAAGTGAGACACAAACCTGCCACCAGCCTGCCTCACACTGACCCACCCACCTTCCCTCTCTAGTCACATGACAGGAGAGACCCTTCCACATGGGGGAGTCTCTGCTTCTCCCTCCCCTGCCTCCCTAAGACATGGCAGCTCCTTCCTGAACCTCTGTAGCCTCAGCTTACTCCTTGGTCACTGGGCTGGTCATTTCCAGTGACTGATCTGTGACTTTCCCTTTAGGCCCTGAAGACCAGAGAAGACCTGGAATGACCCAGACCATGTCTCAGCTCTATGGAGACACCACTGAGAAAGACCCTTCGTGAAGTCTGTGGGGTGCGGGGTAAGGAGGGGGGTGTCACAGGAGAGTCATGGGAGTGGGGATCCTCACATGAATGTTTTCTGGCAGGTCTTTCCAGGAATGAGCTGAGTGACATTGGGTCACACTTGGGAGACCTTGACTGTCAGCATCTCCAAGAAATGGGCCCTGGCCTTAGCTCCTTAAGGATTGGCCATGGTTGGCTGACCGGAGGCATGGTGGTTGAGGTGCTGGACTCCCACATCACTGACCACAGTTCAAGTCCCAGACCTGCGGGCTTGCTTTCTCACTGTCCCTTTATGTCTGTCTCTCTTTGGTCAAAATTGAATTATAATAATAATAAATACGATTAAAGATAAATGTTAAAAATTCTGCCATGAAGCTAAAGAGAGAAGTGCATAGACCTCAGCCTGGATTTAGGGGGGCCCTTTGGACTTGAAATGGGGCCATGAGACTTGTCCTTTCCCTGGTAATTTCCATCCAGACCAGACCCTCCTGAGGTACCAGGAACTATCTAGAGACCAATGTGCTGCAGTAAACCTGACCCACACAGAGCCTGGTCCGTCCTAGGAGGTGAAAGAGGCCAGGGGAGACCCACTTTGGGGTCCAGGGGAGAGCTTTGGGCATCTCCACTTGGACCGGACCCTCTCCTGCTCCCCCTCCTCACTGTGGACATGAACTGTCCTCAGACCCAACCTGTGGGTGTGGCCCTCTGAGGACCCTGAGCAGGGCCTGACCTGGACCCTGAGCTTAACCCTGGCAGAAACAGCGAGTAAGAATTGGTGTGTACAATTCCCTCAGACTCTGATTAACCTCTCCTGTCCTCTCTTGAATGCCATGTCCTTTCACCAGCTCAGCCCACCTCCCTCTCTTTTGGAGACCCTGGGACAGATGGTCACGGTAGAGCAGGGAAGCACCAAGACCCAGGTGGCCTGAGAAGGACTTGGGGAGACAAGGGCTGGCTGTCAGCTCAGAGGAAGTGACACCTCCCTGGGACTGAGCCCAGAGCATCTGCACCTCAGGGAGCCCAGACCCTGGGACGCTCAGAGAAGGGTCTGACCTGGTATCTGCAGATCTCATCGGTCCAGGAGCTGACAGTGCAGGGCCCCAGGGACCACACTCTGAGGGGCTTGGCTCACACTCTCAGCCCAGGGGAGGCTCACCTGAGGACGGCCTGAGAGAGCACGAATGCTCCCTCCAGATGGGAGTCGCTGTGGAGCTGTAGGCCGTGAACACACTGATGCAAGAGAGCTCCCTGCCCTCCGGCCATGGCCGAGAGCAGGAGGTGGGTCTGCAGACACAGGAAGGCCCTGCCCCCTTTCTCCAGGGTACACCAGGGAACATTCTCCAAGATGAATCTTCTAAGTACTACAAAGAATCAATATATTATTAATGATGAAAATAACATGAAGTACATTATCTAATAATCATAATACAATGGACTTAGGAATCAGTAACAGAAACCCCCTCCTAAAACTCACAAACGTTTGCCAAGTCAGAAACACACTCCTACATAGACACGAATCATTAAATTAAAGGGAAATTGGAAAGTACCGTGAGATGAATGGAGATTAAGACACTGTACAGGCAATTTAGGAGATTCTGGTAACAGCACTGGGAGGACAGTTTTAACAAATGTGTGTGTGTGTGTGTTTGGGGTGTGTGTACAACTTTCTATACATGCATGTATAGCATATATACTCAAATATATATTTATGTTTAATTGTTAAATATGTACATATACTTCTTTTTCTTTTTCTTTTTAAATTTTTTTTGGAGAGGTTTTGCTATAGGGCGCTCACCAGACAGACAGAGAGAGACAGAGAGACAGAAAGCGAGAAATCATCCCCTAGGGGGGTTGGCCATGCCGCAATCCCTTCTCCTCCATTCTCCTCTCGGGATCTTGGGCACACACGCACACACACCCCGCGTGAGTTTAAGCCACCGGGTCCAGGACTTGAACCGTGGTCGATTACGTGGGAGTCCAGTGACATAGCCATTACGCTAACTGCTGGTCCCCAACACATACTTATTTTTCAGTTGTTCTCCCCTGTACCAATAAGTTTCCTGTTACTAATAGTAAAGAGTAATACAGAACTGGGATTATTTGCTACACTTGGCAATGGTGTGTCTGAGTTAGAAGTGTCTTTGTTATCATCATTCATGGACTTGTAGCCAATAAACCAAAGGTCTAATTATTATATCTCCTTCACCATTATTTTCTTTCACTGTATAAAAACTTCTTTGATTTCAAAAAAATGGAATCCTGACCTCAACATTCAAGGACCCCACCTGTAAGGTCGAGCCTGTTTAGGTCTCTGATATCCCTGGGGTCAGCACTCACCCACTGTCCTTTGGTTTCTACCCTGAAGGGAGCAGAGCCAGCGTCCTCACTCTGTCCACAGAGCTCAAAGGACAGAGCACCTGGACACAGCAGAGAGGGTGTGACAAGAGGGCCCAGGAGCATCAGAGAGGGAGTAGAAGGAGGCAGGAGGCAAGGTAGGGAGTCTGAGGCCAGCTGTGAGCTGAGTCTCCTAGCCCTGGACTCTTTCCACTATTGTCTGGGTCTTTGGGGAAATCATGTCACCTCCCATGATGGCCCCTTGGCATAGATGGGATGAGATTTCCTGCTTTAAGCTCAGGGCTGCTGGGGGTTATTGGGAACATCTGGCTGAGGTGGTGCCTGCAAAGCACTCAGGAAACATCTGGATTGTTTCAGGGCCCTAAGTGGGCATTCTGTCTGAAATAGATGGAGGTCGGTGACATTTGTCCTGCAGGCACCAGGGGGCACTGTGGGCCTTGGTGTGGGGACCCTGATAACCCCAAGTGCCCTGGCAGAGCTCCAGTGCGGAGGGTGTGACTGAGGCTTCCCCTGAGACCCTCCTGTTGGGTGAATCCACTCTGCCCTGACACCACCTGCCCTTCCTCTGACCTCTCCTACCCTGTGCTGGAAGTCTGTTGGGAGTAGAGTGTGGGTGCTCATGGCACAAAACAAAACGAAGCTAACCTTAATTTGTCAATGATAATTCGACTGACGGTGGCAGCTATTTCACTGTGTAAGAGCACATGAAACCACATAGCGTACCCTGAAGAATACAATTTTAAAAACCAAATCATTTTAGGGTCAGCAGTGTGAGGTAGCAGAGAAGGGCTGGGTTTCCAGGAGGGTGTCCATGGGCCTGTCCCCAAGGCCTGTGCCCAGGAACTCAGACTCTCTGGTGTGGAGGGAGGATGTGCTACCTCAGCACACACACAGACACACACACACACACACACCTCAGACTGGGACCTGGACCCCTTCATTCCATTCTCTAGTGCTGATCCTATCCCTGTGGTGCACTGGGCCAAGCTTGGGCTGGTGCTGATGTGGTCAGAGGTCATAGTGGGGTTGGGGAGGTCAAAATATCATGAGGCGCTGGAGTCCAATGGCCAACTCTGTGGTTTGAATTCCTGACATGGTGGCTTGAGAAATGCTGTGTAGGTGTGCCCGGATCCAGAGAGGAGAATGCAGGAGAAGGGATTGTGGCATGGCCATTTCCCCTAGGGATGATTTCTCTCTTCCCTCTCTCTCTGCCTTTCTCTGGTGGGGGAATGTCCCCCTAGGGATGATTTCTCTCTTCCCTCTCTCTGCCTTTCTCTTATGGCAAAAGTCTTAAAAGCAGGACAAAAATAATTTTTTCAGTGGGTGCAAGCATTCTGCAAAGAGAGACAAAGAGAAACAGAGAAATGAAGAACACACCTCCCGCGGAGAATGTTGCACTGCGGTTCCTTCTCCCTCGATCCTTCCTGTCAGGATTTAGGTGTGCACGACCGTGAGACCCGCATATTTTTGAAGCTGCCAGTTCTGCTCAGTCAGGCCTGTGGGATCCAGCTGTCTTAGCCACCATGTCACCAGCAGGCCCTTAAAATGTATTCAGAAAGCTTTTCATTTTTATGAAGTTCATCTTAGCAATTATCCACAGTGCATTCCTGGCTTAGGAGTCACAAATGTGAATATATAACAGATCCCCAAAAATTTGGTTGCCCCTTTTTTTATTTTTCTAATACGTAACGAGTATTCTCAAAGAGGTACATGGTTCTTTACCCTTTGCCTAATTATGATATTTTGACCTCCCTGACCCCAGCATGACCTCTGACCACATCAGCACCAGGCCAAGTTGGCCCTGTGCACCCCAGGGATAGAATCAGCACTACAGAGTGGAATGAAGGGGTCTTGCCCAGCCCAGAGAGGGGCCCAGGCCCCAGTCTGAGGTATGTGAGTGTGTGTGTGTCATGCGTGTGTGTTGTGTTTGTGAGTTGTGTGTTTGCGTGTGTGTGTGTGTGCTGGGGCAGCACTTCCTCACTCCACACCAGAGACTCTGAGATCTTGGGGACAGGACCATGGGACGCCCTCCAGGAAGCCCAGCCCTTCTCTGCCAAGCAGGGAGCCACCCACAGCCACAGAAGGAAGGAGGACATTTGCATGAGGAGCCCCTCTCCCTCAGGATAAGAGAGACCTGGAGGCCCTCCCAGCTGTGGGCTCAGAGGCAGAGCTCTGGGGTGTCTCCACCATGGCCTGGACCCCTCTCCTGCTCCCCATCCTCACTCTCTGCACAGGTGCTGCCCCCAGGGCTCAGCGCCACACAACCAGGGACCAACCTGGCCTGACCTTCAGCTCAGCACAGGGGGTGCCGCAGGGTGTGGGGCCCTCTGGGAAGGAGACCCTCAGCCTCAGACTCACCTCTCCTGTCCTCTCTTGCAGGCTCTGTGACCTCCTCTGTGCTGACTCAGCCATCTACAGTGTCTGTGGCCCTGGGACAGACAGCCAGGGTCACCTGCCAGGTGGGAAACTTAGGAAGCGTTTTCTTTAAGGCTCACTGGTACCAGCAGAAGCCAGCCCAGCGCCCTGCACTGCTCATCTATCGTGATAGCAACCGGGCCTCTGGGGTCCCTGACCGATTCTCCGGCTCCCGCTCAGGTGGAATGACAACCCTGACCATCACTGGGGCCCAGGCTGAGGACGAGGCTGACTATTACTGTCAGTCATGGGGCAGTGGTAACCTTGCACAGTGACACAGGCAGATGGGGAAATGAGACACAAACCCCCTTCCCTGTCTGGGTCCAACTCTCTGTAGTCCCTGTAAGACTGGGGACACAGCAGGGCTGGCCCATGTCACCTGGAGCTGAGCCCCCCATGCTGTCCTCTCCTCCTAGCCCTCCAGGTGGGATCTGCCGAGGGAGTGTGGGGAGTGCACTCAGGGCTGCAGGACCAGACTGCCCTGGGATTAGGGTCTGTTATTTGAGTGTGAGGACAGACATAAGGACACATCTGTCCTTCACTTGTTGATCTGGCGTTTCTGTGGGGGTCAGTGGGCCTTTCTTTGGTCCAAATATCCAGGACTAACACCTAGCCCTGTCCAGCTGGCTGAAGTCCTGACACAGCAGCACCTTGGCATGATGGGATTCTCACAGAGCAAGCCTGTGCCGTGGGCCCTGTGGGATCTGCCCGGCCCCACTTCAGGGCTGACCCACCTCCTCTGCTGGGAGCTGTCAGCCCCTCAGAGCTGGGCCCCTTCCTCCAGTTCATGCCTCTACCCAGAGAGGTCTGGTTTGATGACAGCCTGAGGTCCATATTCCAGGCCCTGCTTCAACTTAGGGACACCTAGAAGTCCCCCAGCTCCAGAGTTCCCTGGAGGGAAGCCAGAGTCCTTCCATTGTACCCTTCTTGATGTCAGCACCTCTTTCAGCCCTGGGTGGACTCCTCCCTCCTTCCAAGCTGACCTGAGCCTACAGATCTTCATGGAGAGACAGAATCAGGGAAGCCACCTGGAGTCAGTTGTCCCCACACTGGGGATCCAGGCCTGCGGCCGCCACTGTACACCTGAGAGCTCTTGTCTTCCTCCTAAATTCTCAGTGTGAACACCACGTGTCCCAGAAGGTCTGCTGACTTCCTGCATTTTTTGAAAAGAATAATAGTAATGTGCCTCAAATCCTAGGAGCTCTCAGTTCTCAGAGAACCACAGGCCAGATCCAGGCTGAAGGTGAATACCAGGAAAGAGGAGCCACGGTCCCAGCTGTTCCGTGATACACACCTGAAGGTGTGAGCTGCACTCCATGCCTCCACCTCCACCTCCATGTGTGCACACTCTGACTCTTCATCCCTGACCAGATACACAGATGGAAGTGACTCAGTGAGATCCAGGGTGTCACAGTAGACACTGAAGCCTCCACCACAGTGCATTTACCCTTTTCTATTTTTTCTTCCTCTTTTTTTTTTTTTTTTTGGAGAGGTTTTTGCTATAGGGCGCGTGCGCTTGCCAGTGCCAGTGAGACAGAGACAGGAAGCGAGAAATCACCCCCCAGGGGGATGGCCATGCCACAATCCCTTCTCCTCCATTCTCCTCTCGGGATCTTGGGCAAC